AAGCTTGGCACGCAGAGGCCCCCTGGCCATGCTCTTGGTGGGGGAGCCAGGCACAGGGACAATGACCAGTGGCCACAGAACCCCCAGATGTCATTCTCCAGGGCAGAGAGGCCAGTCCATTCTGTGCTGTAGTCTCCCTCTTGGGGAAGCCAGTGTCTCATATCCTATCAGTCCACACACAGGACTTCGCTGAGAGACAGAAGCATTGTAAAGTCTCTTGAGTAAGATAGATGCGCAAGAAAGAAGTGGAAGAAAACCTTTGTCATTGTAAAGAGCCCTGATTTTGTTCTCAGAGAGACCTGGATTGAAATCCCATCGTATTCCTCCTAATAGTGTATGCACTTAGAACCTCCGGCAAACAAGTTTACCTTCCCTAGCTACAGAGACTTTTCTATGAAATTGAGATACTATTTCAGAACATTGCAAAATTTAAAAAAAAAATATTAAGAGACCAGATAAATAATAGGGACTTAAAACATTCTTATTTGTGATTAATTCATGATAACTCTGCCAAGTAAATATTACTGTGCTAATTTTATAGATGAGGATCAATACCAAGATATTGTCCACTTTAAAACTCAACATCCAGGAAGCATCCTAAGGTCTATACGTGTGCATGCTCATGGGAGATGGTGTTGGTGGCAAAGCCATTGGAGGCAAAAGAAAGAAGTCAGTAAACATCGGAAAGAAAATGCACAAAACATACTGTGAGTGGTCTATAGAGCCAATATTGGCCAGATGCAGGGCTCATAAAGAAGAGTCATTATGTCATTACTAGAGGCCCGATGCACAAAGATTCGTGCAAGAATGGGCCTTCCTTCCCCTGGCTGCCGGCACTGCCTTCACTCCGGCCGGAGCCGCCTTTCCACCTTTCCACGCTGCCAGAGGCCCTGAGTAGCTGGGGTGGTATGGAATGCCTGCGTTGTTGCCATGGCGACGACATAAGCATCTTGCCCCACCCCCAGCCGCTCAGCACCTGTGTATGCAAATTAACCCACCATCTTTGTTGGGTTAATTTGCATACTCACTCCTGATTGGCTGGTGGGGTCATGAATGTACGGTCAATTTGCACCTTTCTCTTTTATTAGTGTAGATAATTAATATTTATTTCTCAAAATGATTTAAGACCATATCTCAGTGTGAGAGAGAGAGACAGGCCCAGTCCTTGGGGATGGAGAGGTGGGAGAGAGAGAGCAGAACAAATACTCATTCGAATATACAGTCAATTTGCACCTTTCTCTTTTATTAGTGTACATAATTAATATTTATTTCTCAAAATGATTTAAGACCAAATCTCAGTGTGAGAGAGAGACAGGCCCAGTCCTTGGGGATGGAGAGGTGGGAGAGAGAGAGCAGAACAAATACTCATTGGGCATTTACTATGTCAATCACTACACTAGGCACTTTAGTTTCATTGTCATATTTGATTCTATAGTAATTCTATAAGAGTAATGAGACTACTAGTTGCTCCCCTCATTATTCTTATTCCCTCTGCAGCTATTGCCAAGTTCTGCCACAACTCATTCATCACTCTCTTAAAAGGAAATGGCTTGCCTTCACTTTTTCTTCTTCTTCCATCCCATGAACTGAAATGTGGATATGGTATTTGATTATGTGAACCAGCTTTGATTATGTGAACAAAGACCACACCCTCAGGCAGAGGGTTTCCACCAAGAGTGATTTTTGTCTTCCTAGAAGACACAGGCAGTGTCCAGAGACAGTCTGAGTTGTCACAACTGGGGAGAGGATGCCACTGACACCTAGTAAGTAGAGACCAGGGATGCTGCTAAACACTCTATAAATCATGAGACCATCTCCCCACCCTCAGCCTGCCTCCTCTATCACAGTGTATCTATTTTGTATGCAGAAGGCATCTTCCCATTCAAAGATGCTCTCTGCAGTCAGCTATCTGATTGTCTGCCTCATCTTTCCCTTCATATCGAGGAGCTCTCATTATGCAGGATTAACATACAATGCCCAGCCTGACAGCGATGTGTGTCACTGCCTTTAGACAGACAATGCCAGCCCACAGCTTCCTTTCCACCTCCTGTAACTTATATGCGATCCCAGGAAGTGGGATGATTCATGTTGACCAGGGTAGGACCCTCCCACTCCATGGCTATGACCATGGGAGTCTTGAAGAAACATGAAACCTACAGAATCACAGAACCCTTCACTGGCCTCGTGACGCCAACCTTCATCACAGAGCACAGTGTGGGGGGTCTAGAAACGATAGCACACGAGTCAGTTCTCACAGGGTGTCTGTAGCTTCAGTACCATACAAAGCGATGTCTTTCATAATCCTTTCCTCACAAAGCCCTGGCTCTGTCTTGAACAACCCACCTCTTAAAATAGGTGGTGGGGTATTATCCAGAGCTCAGAAAGGAGCCAGTCTATACATGTGTCTCTTTTCAATCAGGGGTTTCATCCAGTGATCTGATCTCCACTCGGGCTCTCAGTATCTTGTGATATGTGACACCTTCCATGAGCAATGAACATTCCCCAGATGGGTAAGTCACCCACCACCTCAGCCCCAAAATATCTCTTAGATTTGCATGGGCTCTTCCCAAGCCCCAAACACTAACATTACACACATTCTAAGAATCTGAATCAGACTATTTAATTCAACCACGATAGGAATCATCTAAATGCTCTAAAATCAAATAGGAAATCAGGATGCCACAGGATTTCAATTTAAGGAGGCCAAAGCCACATTCTAAGGGAGCCAAAGAAGAAATGAGTGCAAACAAGGTGTAGAGAATTGTGGGGTGTGAAATCCCCTGCCAGGACTGTATTGCTGTCAATCTCTTTCTTAAAGTCCACCAATATTTTTTTTATATATTTAGGTGTTCCTATCTTGGGTGCATATATTTATGAGAGCTATATCTTCTTTTTTTTTAAATTTTGTTTTATTGCTTAAAGTATTACAAAGATATATCTTCTTATTGGATCGATTCCTTTAGTATTATGTAGTGACCTTCTTTGTCTCTTTTATGGCCTTTGCTTTGAAGTCTATTTGGTTAGATACAAGTATTGCTACCCCAGCTTTTTTTGTTTGTTTTTATGGATTTTTTTTCATCCCTTCACTTTCAGACTGTGTGTATCTTTTGTTCTGAAGTGGGTCTCTTGTAGACAGCATATATACAGGTCAGGGTTTCTTATCCATTCAGCTACTCTATGTCTTTTGATTGATGCATTTAATCCATTTATTTTAAGGTTATTATTGATCGGTACTTATTTATTGCCATTTTATTCTTTATACCTGTGTTCCCCTCTCTCTCTATTTCTTCTTCTTCTTAAAGCAGGCCCTTTAAAATTTCTTATAATACTGATTTGGTATAATGAACTCCTTCAGGTTTTTTTTGTTTTGTTTTGTTTTGTTTTGGTCTGGGAAGCTCTTTTTTCACCTTCAATTTTAAATGATAGCCTTGATCGATAGAGTAGTCTTGGTCATAGGTCCTTGCTTTTCATCACTTTGAATAATTAATGCCAATCCCTTCTGGCCTGAAGTGTTTCTGTTGAGAAATCAATTGGCAGCCTATGGGAGCTCCCTTGTGAGGTAGGTATTCTTGTGATCCCCATTTGTAATGATACTGGTGAGAAGATAAATTTAGTGGGTGGTTACTAGGTACCATTGGCATAAACCAGATTCAGTCACTGTGCTGTCGGGGACACTTAGAGAAGGGGTGTGTCCTATGTTCCACACAGTGTCTGCTTTTCTGGGCTACTCTCAACTTGGGTCTCAGCTGGCCGACTCTCAGGTCACCACCTGAACTCCAGAAATTGCTTCCTCTTTACATGACACTTATAACTCCTGGTGGGAAACAGGCAGAGGTAGTAGTAGTACATATGCAATGGGTCACCTTCTTACTTCCATGCCCTTTATTCTACATTCCAGTAACACACCATCTGTATGGGACTGTTAGGCTTTGCTGAAGGTTTGGGGAAATAGCCATTGTTAACAATTATATGTGAACATTAGCTATGGTTTTATCTGAAAGTCCTTCATCACCCAGTCATGAGAAATTTCTCATTGGTTACTTTTCTCCACTGGTTCAAGGCTCCACGGTGCATTCTCTGGCCTCTTTCTTCTGCTTTTATCTCTGTACCACGCTGGGACAACCCACATGGATACTTGTAAAACCTACAGGCTATTTCAGCTTACCATAGCACAAACAGTTCCAAATAACATTATAGAGATGCAGAGTAGATGAGTGGTCCCAGGGAAGAGTTCATGGAGAATGGGAGTTGGAAGACCCAAAGCTTGAAAACTATCCAAGAGGTATTCATGAATCCTGATGCTATAGGGTATCATTCATTTTTCCCAACTGAAGTAAAAGTATTAAAGTGACTGAATCACTGAAAAATGAGAAAACTTCTTGGGGAGAGAGGACTCCAGGAAGTCTATCTAGACCGTCAGAATCCACAGAAAATGAAAAGTCAGCCTGTTCATTTCTCTTTATTTCAAGATGCATTTCTTTCATGTGGATGTTTGCACTGCTTTCTCAAGATCTCCCACGACTATTAGTAAATAAAATTGTTGGTTTTATCTCTCAGAAATCATTTTGTAAATGAGGAAAAATTCAAACAATGGCCTGAATATAATTTAATCTTCCTCCTTTGGTTAAACCTAGAAAAATACTATCATTTAGTGAGATAAAATCAATTTAATAAGTTAGCAATAATGAGGCATAATTTGAAATCAAGTCTGTTTTATTCAAAATTTCACTTATACTCTTTTCCCTAAGTAATTCTGACTCTCAAGGATATGCTATAAAATACTGTACCTACTCTGGCATCTATATCTATAAAAGGCTAATATGCTAAGTGTCCCTCCGACCATCCGACTGGTTGCTATGATGCGCACTGTCCACCAGGGGAGAGACGCTCAATGCAGGAGCTGCCAAGATGCGCACTAGCCATTTACAAAGAAATGGCACCGTGGACCTGGTGCTGACAAAGCAACACATGGACAAAGCAACAGACAAAGCAATTCAGCTTCCCCCAAGTGGGACACAGGCCCCGCCACCACCCTGGAATGACAACCCATCAAATCACAGCCAGTGCTGCCAAGACCCCAAGGTGCAAAATGTGGCTCACAGCCCAGCCCGTAAAAGGTCGCTGTGGGCACCAGGTAATGACATCATGTAGCAACGCCTGGTTTCCTCTCCCTAGTGACTAGCCTCCTTGGAGTTTCTTCAGCCCAGGAACACAACTTGCTTTATAGCCAGGTGCAAACATTTTACACTT